TTTATGTTTCAAATTTTCAATGGATAGTTTAGGTATAAATGAATTTTTTTAAATGAAAGTATATATAAACAAACTCTGGATATTCTGGTTTAAATGAAAGGCACGCAATGATAAAATTTTCAATAATTTAGACCAATCTCCGCAGGCGATCCTGGACATCGCCAGGAAGGAGGCTGAGGCCTGGTTCCTAGCGAAGGGCTCGATAAAGCAGGTTGGACAGGGTAACTTGCCCATATATGTATCCCCAATGCCGGTGGCTGTATTTAAATGTTTTGTGGATGGGTCACGGAAAAACGGTGAACTCACGAGTGGGTTAGGGTGGATACTTCAGGTACAAGACGGAGAGACGGACCTCCATGGAATACGGGGTATGCGCCGGGGTTTTTTCCCTCTACACACGGAGATTCATAGTCTACTATGGGCAATGGAGAGCCTACGGAGGAAAAAGCAATACTGTGCATTGTTCGCTACGGATTCCAGGAGTTGATTGGTGCAAGATCCAGACAGGTGGCCTCGCTTCAAGACTGAGTTGGATGAGTTAACGGACATTCGAACTTATTTTCCGGACTTTACACTGGTGTATTGTCCACGGGACCTGAATGAAAATGCGGACCTACTTGGTAGGACCGCTCGTCAACGGAATGTGATTTTTTCTACTATTAGTACTTCAGTTCTTCATTGTTTTTTTAATGCTGTTATATTCGGTTAGTCAATAGATACAAATGTGTTCATGACAAAAACTACATTTTCGTTTTTTAGGATTGTGCCATGTAACACCCAATAGTCTATGTAGGTGGCCAACTTTTCTGAATTAAATAATTTTTATCAGAATTTTTCAATTTGGATTTAAACCGAATAACATATTCAAGTTGATCTAAATAATATTTTGTCCAACCTTAGTAACATCCACTACTAAAAGTTGCATACACAAGCAAAAGAAACTTCTTTAGTAATTAGGGTATAAATTGTGCTTGCCGAGCATAGGAGAGGGTATATACATATCTATACAATGTTGCAGGTTTTGATGCTAAGCTTTCTATATTACAAGATCGAACCAATAACTAAAAAACTATACATAAAGGTATGCGAGATTTTGTGTTAAGGAGAATCTTCAGACGTGTGATTTTGGCGGCGCATTCTAGCAGCCCAAGACATTGAGTTATTGTTGTTTTTAAGATTGCTTCTTCTCTTTAACCCTGAGAGTTGAGTTTGCCATTTTTGCTTCCACTCACTCTTCTTCTCTTCCACCACTTCCTGCTTTCACAAAACAATCACCAAAACTCAAATTCAAACTCTGGATTACAACATAGTTTTTGGTTCAACATTTAGGACCACAATTGTCAGCAAATAATTGCATTCTAAAGTTTCTAACTGTGACAATATGGTGCGAGACGGTCTAAATAATAACATACATACATTTATAAGTATAGTTTCGTTTACTGTTTAGTGCAGGGCGGTCCGTCGCGATTCAGAACCTTAAAATTATTGAATCAGCTAGGGTAAATAAAGAGAGATGCAAGTTGAACTTAGAGTCTGTTTCCATTTTGTCAACATTCTCTTTTTTTTTTTTTTTGGTCGACTGTCAACATTCTATATTCCACTACTTTCACAAATTTAAATCTTATCTTTTTAATAAATAATTCACAATGAGTCAATATTTTGGACCATAAAGATAAGGGTCAATTCTGGCGACAAGGATGCACACAAATGTTCTCGAATCTTTCGGTAAATCTTAGGTTTTTTCTTAAAATTCGAAATACAAAAATGTAAAACAAAATTTTTGTGGATAATACTGAAACAGAGTATTTGTCTATATATGAACAGCAAAAATATCCTAATGAATAAAATCAACATCGTTGCGATAAATTTTTTGAATGTGACATAATTCAATATTATTAGTCTCCTCTTAAATTTTCTATACCATACACTAAACAATGGTTACAAAGATTTTTGATTCAAATTAAATAAAAATTAGCGAAATTAATAAAGAAGAAGAAGGATTGTGTATGAATATACCTCATCGTATCGATTCCGGCGTTTACCGGAGAAGGAAAACGAAAATCCCATAGACAAATCACGGTCATAGAGAATTCTTCGGCGAGGATCTGAGAGAGTTTCGTAAGCTTCTTGAACTCTAATAAACCGATCTGTGTATTCCTCGATTCGATCCGGCGGCGAAACATCGGGATGGTATTTTCGAGCGAGTTGTTTATAGGCTTGTTTGATTTCCGGGAGAGTAACGGATTCGGTGACTCCGAGAAGATCGTAGAAGCTTAAATCTTCTTCCGATTGTTTGACCGGATCGTCGTGGAGGATTCGGGCTTGGATCCGGGTTGATGAGAATCGGTTTCGGGTCGGGTAAGAGAGAGTAGAAGGGAAAAAAGAAGAAGAAGAGGAGATGGGTTGTTTACAGAGGAATGGGTGATAATCGGTAGCGAGAATTGATGATCCTTTGTAACAACACTTCATTGTTTCGATTTAGGTCTTTTTTTTTCTTTTTTGGTGTTTGTTTGGAATTTGAGAGTGTAAGATAGAAATAGTAATGTGTGTGGGATTTGAGGAGAGGATGGTGAATGAAACAGTTGAAGAAGAAGAGTATATACATGTGGCTTCGAAGGGTATTTCTGTCATTTTAAACTTTTAAAAAGGAGTTGTCGTTTTGAGACTGGAAA